TTGGTTTGCTCCTGACACAATAAATAAATAAAATAAATAACCTTCCTGCTGAAGTGTGACGTACTGATCTCCCATTTGCATGTTTTCAACCTGCTAGGTTGGCCAAAGCTGGGGCTAACAGCAGGAGCTCACCCCTTTCACAGATTCAACCCCCAACCTTTCGGTCAGCAATGCTTTTGACACTAAATAAATAAATAAATGCATATTGCAAACTTGGTGGGAGGAGATGAAGTCTCGCAGGAAGCCATTAGCCTAGGACATGATGGGAATTGCAGACAAGCAGAAGTGGGTCACCTTGCCTGACCTCTACCGTTTGCTGCCTTTTCTTCCTCTCAAGCCTTCTTGGAATGGCTGTGACCTTTTAGGACAGGCCCATCCACAGAGGTCAGGGAAACAAAATCTCAGGGTGGAGGCAGCCGAGAGAAAGACTACCGCCCGGGCCTGAGAATAAGAAGATAGTTGCCAAGCCTGAGAAGGAGACCTCCCCCTGCCGTCCTACCCTTAAATCTTGTAATGCAACTCCAGACTGGAAATAGCAACACAACCTTCAGCAGCCTGCATGTCAAAGAGCACTGGGCTCTTTTATCAGCTGCTCAGGATTTTGCTTTGACACAGAGCACCCCATGTCGTCTGTCGCACTGCTGCTGACTCCATGTAAATTCACTGTCTGCTTATAGCCATTGATTTTTCACTAGTAAACTAGTCTTTTTATATTTTCACAAGCAAGAACATACTCCCCAGCTCTTCTTGCATCTAGGGTTCCCTAATTTGAGTGTGAGCAGACCCTCCTTCTTTAATTCCATCCTAAAACATCTAGCAATACTATAATTTCATCATCATGTCTGTTTCTCCTATTTTTAGTGCAGTGTTTCTCAACCTTCCTAGTGCCATGACCCCTTAATACAGTTCCTCATGTTGTGCTGACCCCCAACCACAACATTATTTTCGTTGCTACTTCGTAACTGTAATTTTGCTACTGTTACGAATCGTCATGTAAATATCTGATATGGAGGATATATGTTCATTCACTGGACCAAGTTTGGCACAAATACCCAATACGCCTGAATTTGAATACTGGTGAGGTTGGGGGAGGGATTGATTTTTGTCATTTGGGAGTTGTAGTTGCTGGGATTTATAGTTTGCCTACAATCAAAGAGCATTCTGAACTCAACCAATGATGGAATTGAACCAAACTTGGCTCACAGTACTCCCATGACTAACAGAAAAGACTGGAGAAATTTGGTGGATATTGACCTTAAGTTTTGGAGTTGTAGTTCATCTACATCCAGCAAGCACTCTGGACTCAAACAATGATAGATCTGGACCAAACCTGTCACAAATATTCAATATGCTCAAATGTGAACACTGGTGGAGTTTGGGGAAAATAGACTTGACATTTGGGAGTTGTAGTTGCTGGGATTTATAGTTCACCTACAATCAAAGAGCATTCTGAGCCCCACCAATGATAGAATTGGGCCAAACTTCCCACACAGAACCTGCATGACCAATAGAAAATACTGTATTTTCTGATGGTCTTTGACGACCTCTCTGATAACCCTTAAATCCAGAGAGCACTGTGGTCTCAAACCATCATAGATCTGAATCAAACTTGGCACAAATACTCAATACAGTAGAGTCTCATTTATCCAACCTTCACTCATCCAATGTTCTGTATTATCTAATGTAGTCTGCTTCGGATCCAATGTTTCAATACATTGCGATGTTTTAACGCTAAATTTGTAAATACAGTAATTAACTACACAATGTTACAGTGTACTGAACTGCTTTTTTCTGTCAATTGGTTGTAAAACATGGTGTTTTGGTGCTTAATTTGTAAAATCATAATATAATTTGACGTTTAATAGGCTTTTCCTTCATCCTTCCTTATTATCCAACCATTTTGCTTATCCAATGTTCTGCCAGCTCATTTGTGTTGGACAAGTAAGACTCTCCTGCATGCCCAAATGTGAACATTGGTGAGGTTTGGGAAAAATAGACCTTGACATTTGGGAGTTGTAGTTGCTGGGATTTATAGTTCACCTATAATCAAAAAGCATTCTGAACCCCACCAATGACAGAATTGGGTTAAACTTCCCACATAGAAAGGCATGATCCTCCCTCCAGCCTCATATGCTCTCCCTCGCCCACACATGTGCACCACTCTACCATGTGCTGAGCACACCTGCTCTCCCCTCCCTGCTTGGAATTTCAGAAACAGCCCTCCCCTTGGCTGAGAGAGGCTTTTGGTGGGAGGATTCGCTGTCTGTTTCCAAAAAAGGAAGATAAGGACAGGTTGAGAGATCTTCAGCCTTTTTTGCCAAATGGATTATGAAGACCATCAGTGGTCTGGTGTTTCTCAACCTGGGGGTCTGGTGGTCTTTGGCAACCCCTTTGAAACCCCCTCACGACCCTCCCCAGGAGTCCTGACCCCCAGGTTGAGAAACACTATTTTAGTTCTGGCCCAACTTGCCTGTCTGAATGCATCTTCCCTTATGAACCTGGTAGGACTTTAAGATTGTCTGGGGAGGCTCTACTCTCGATCCCGCCTGTATCACAAACACGCTTGGTGGGGATGAGAGACAAGGCCTTCTCAGTGGTGGCCCCTCAGTTATGGAACGCCCTTCCTGGGGACATTAGATCGGCCCCCTCCCTCTTAACATTTCAGAAGCGAGTCAAGACTTGGTTGTTTGAGCAAGCGTTTGAAAATGCAAGGTAAAAGACTGGAGACATCAGTACACTCCTTCTATACCTGGGACATCGTCCTCTTCCACCGAGCGCACAGCTTTGGGAGGGACGCACATGGAGCGGTGAGGGAGGAAGGGGACACCCGCCTAGCTAGCCAGATCAGCCGAATCAACCCTGGAGATCAACGGGGTGAAAGATGTCGCAGCCAGAACGCCCTCACATTGGAGTACATAGATCAGATTGGGGTGCAGTGTAGGGGAGACGGGGATAGTTGATGCATATATCTATGGCTACCTGTATATTTGTATTTTATTTTAAGAGGACTAGATGTATGTTGTATGTTGTGTCTGCACTGTCTGTTTTTGATAAGGCCAACTGGCTAAATAATAAAAAATGGTTGTTGTTGCAAGGTAAAAGACATAGGAATTGGAACGACTGGACGACGAGATGGGACAATGTTTTTTTATTAAGAGATGCAAAGGATCTATCTTTTAATATTCTTATTATGGTTTTATATTATACTAGCCGTCCCCTGCCACGCGTTGCTGTGGCCCACATGGGGGGTTCTGTGTGGGAGGTTTGGCCCAATTCTATCGTTGGTGGGGTTCAGAATGTTCTGTGATTGTAGGTGAACTATAAATCCCAGCAACTACAACTCCCAAATGTCAAGATTCTATTTTCCCCAAACTCCACCAGTGTTCACATTTGGGCATATTGAGTATTCCTGTAGAGTTTGGTCCAGATCCATCATTGTTTGAGTCCACAGTGATCTCTGGATGTAGGTGAACTACAACTCCAAAACCAAAGGACACTGCCCACCAAACCCTTCCAGTATTTTCTGTTGGTCATGGGAGAACTTGTGCCAAGTTTGGTTCAATTCCATCTTGGGGTTCAGAATGCTCTTTGATTGTAGGTGAACTATAAATCCCAGCAACTACAACTCCCAAATGACAAAATCAATTTTTTTGAGTGAAGGACATACATTGGGTTGTTAGGTGTCTTGTGTCCAAATTTGGTGTCAATTCGTCCAGTGGTTTTTGAGTTCTGTTAATCCCACAAACGAACATTACATTTTTATTTATATATATTATTTATTTATCGTGTCAGGCAACCGAACAGTTGTATTACATTTTTGACAGAACAAACAAACAAACATACAAAACACACAGAGTTTGCAAGCTTGGTAGTTGATTAAATGTCCTTTGACCAGTATCTGACCACTTGGAGTGCTTCTGGTGTTGCCGCAAGAAGGTCCTCCATTGTGCATGTAGCACATATTATATGCTAATGTTTTACAGTGTTTTATGGTATTTTGGGCATCGAATCGTTGCCATTGTAAACCTCCCTGAGTTGCCTGAGGGATGAGAAGGGCGGAATACAAATACAGTAAATAAATAAAGAATAAATAAATAATTTTTGAGAATGGCGATCCCAAAGATCTGAAATGTATGCACTATTTTTTGTGTGCTTGTGGTTGGCCTTACACAAATAGGGATTATTGGGGGGGGGGGGAATTCTGATGGTCAGCATGACTACCTTTCCCTTCCATAGGGGAAGAGGCCCTATGCTATTCAGAAGTGTTTCCTGCAGCAAGACAGAAGCCATAAAGGTCCGAGTGAAAAAGAGTCTGGGTGCTTAACTGGGAAGCCACAGCCCTGGCCATCAGCCTAACTAAAGGTCACCTGTAAGTGATATAGCTTTTCATGATGGTGGGCACAGCCGTCTTTTCTGATACCCTGGCCTCAGCGACGCTCCGCAAGCATCTCCAACTAAACCAGTCTTTGAAGGTGTGCTCGTCTTATGGTTTCACACCCTGGAACCCATCAGGTTGGTAATTCAATCACATTACAACACTGGTAATGGGGCAAGATTTTTGACCATTTCTATTCCCTGGCAGCCACCTCTCCACAAAAGTAAACATTGACACTGAAATACAACACCGCTTGAGCTCTGGGAATGCAGCATTTCCTTGTTGTTTGAGTGTTCCTCTTTATTTACTGTCCTGACTTTGGCCACCTTGATTAGCACTGAATGGCCTTGCAGCTTCAAAGCCTGGCTGATTCTTGCCCGGGGGAATCCTTTGCTGGGACGTGTTAGCAGGCCCTGATTGTTTCATGTCAGGAATTTCCCTGTTGTTTCAGTGTTCCTCTTTATTTACTGTCCTGAATTTATAAGGTTTTTTTACTACTGGTATTCAGATTTAATTCCAAACAGGATTCTGACAGGATTCGAAGCTGCAAGGCCATTCAATGCTAATCAAGGTGGCCAATTGCAACATTAAAAAACTCTAAAATCAAAACAGTAAATAAAGAACAACACAAAAAAAACCAGGGGGAAATCCAGACAGGAAACAATCAGGGCCAGCTAACACCTCCCAACAAAGGATGCATCCAGGCAGGAAGCAGCCAGGCTTTGAAGCTGCAAGAGCATTCGATGCTAAGCAAGGTGGCCAATTGCAACCCCACTTGCCTAATTTCCAACAGACCTCACAACCTCTTTATTTACCGTCCTGACTTTAGAGGGTTTTTTTTTTAAATACTGGTAGCCAGATTTAATTCCAGGCAGGATTCAATGCTAATTTTATAATAATTATATATTTTATTTTATTATTTGTATTATTTATATTATTTTTATATTTATTATTATTATTTATATTATTATTTTTATTATAATATAATATAAATAATAATTATTTATATTATTATTTTTATAATAATTCAATGCTAATTCAATGCTAATCAAGATAGCCAACTGCAACATTCCCACCTGCCTCAAGCAGACAAGAGTTATTTCTTCCATCCTGGACATCCCACTTGCCTAGTTTCCCCACTTGCCTAGTTTCCAACAGACCTCACAACCTCTGAGGATGCCTGCCATAGATGTGGGCATAACGTCAGGAAATAATGCTTCCGGAACATGGTCATACAGCCCGGAAAACTCACAGCAACCTAGTCCCATCTCTGCTTGGTGGCTTCTCTCCCTGAAGGTTTCAATACAGATGGGATGGATGAATACTGGTGCTGTATGTTCAAGGTGCTGCACAGGTTGACCCTTACCTTCCAAGTGCTTGACTATCCCTCGAAGGCTATTGCCATGGGCAGCAATGAGTACTCTCTTGCCAGCTTTGATCTGAGGAGCAATCTCATCATTCCAGAAGGGCAAGGCGCGGGCAATGGTATCCTTGAGGCTCTCACAAGAAGGCAGTTCTCCAGATTTCAAAGCAGCGTAACGCCGGGCCTGGATGGTGCAAAGGAAAAGAGGGCATGGTTAAATCTTCTGGAGCAGGCATGGGCAAACTTGGGCCCTCCAGGTGTTTTGGACTTCAACTCCCACAATTCCTAACAGCCAGTAGGCTGTTAGGAATTGTGGAGCTGAAGTCCAAAACATCTGGGGGGCCAAAGTTTGCACATGACTAGGACGCAGAACAATGACTTCAAACTACAAGAAAGGAGATTCTGGGGTTGTTGTAGGTTTTTTCTGGCTATATGGCCATGTTCTAGAGGCATTCTCTCCTGACGTTTTGCCTGCATCTATGGCAAGCATCCTCTGAGGTTATGAGGCCTGTTGGAACTAGGAAAATTGGGTTTATATATCTGTGGGATTAACAGAACTCAAAAACCACTGGACGAATTGACACCAAATTTGAACACAATACACCTATCAGGCCAATGAATGTTCTTCACTAAAAATGATTTTGTCATTTGGGAGTTGTAGTTGCTGGGATTTATAGTTCGCCTACAACCAACGATGGAATTGAACCAAATTTGGCACACAGTTCTCTCATGAACAACAGAAAATACTGGAAGGGTTTGGTGGGCAGTGTCCTTTGGTTTTGGAGTTGTAGTTCACCTACATCCGGAGATCACTGTGGACTCAAACAATGATGGATGTGAACTAAACTTGGCACAAATACTCAGTATGCCCAAATGTGAACACTGGTGGGGTTTGGGGGAAATAACCTTGACCCTTGGGAGTTATAGTTCACCTACAATCAAACTATGCTGGGAGTTATAGTTCACCTACAATCAAAGAGCATTCTGAACTCCACCAATGATGGAATTGAACCAAATGTGGCATACATGACTCCCACGACCAACAGAAAACCGTAGTCAATGGTGGATAATGAAAGGCATATGAATTGTGTATAATAATATTATTGCATGTGACAAATAAACATAATATACAGAATCTGATTTAAAATAGACTGCATTACAGATGGATAGACTTTTTTTTTACATTAAGTAAATGAATGAGTGCCATGGGTCAACCAAAGCTATGTAGTCCTAATATACCTAGCTTTGTGTTGTCGAAGGCTTTCATGGCCAGAATCACTGGGTTGTATGGCCATGTTCCAGAAGCATTCTCTCCTGACGTTTTGCCTGCATCTATGGCAGGCATCCCACAAGGATGGTAAAATATCAAAAACATCCGGGCGTCCCTTGGGCAACATCCTTGCAGACAGCCAGTTTACTCACACCAGAAGCAACTTGCAGTTTCTCAAGTTGCTCCTGACATGAAAGAAAAAAACAAGAGCTGGAAAACTCACTGTTGGGAACAGGGCTATCCCAAAATGTTTTGCCATTTGCCAGCCCACTGTGATTTATTTTCTTGTGTTTAAATTATTGTGATTTTATACTGTTGATGTTTATTTATATTGTTTTTTGCATTTTTATTTTATATTTTACTGTCATTGTATGTTGTTTATTTGCATTGTTGTATCATTGGGCTTGGCCTCATGTAAGCTGCCCCGAGGCCCTTTGGGGAGATGGTGGTGGGGTATAAATAAAGTTTATTATTATTATTAATTATTATTATTATTAATCTTAACTAAGATGGTGGGGTTTTGGAGAGCCAGGCTTGGTTGCAAAGCGTATACAGGTTTGTGCACTGACCTTGCTGATGATTTGATAGTAAGGGTGGTTTTCATCCATGTTTATTTATATGGTTTTTTGTATTTTATTTTTTATTTTATATTTTACTGTCGTTGTATGTTGTTTATTTGCTTATTTGTTTATTTGATAGTAAGGGTGGTTTTCATCCATGTTTGTTTATATTGTTTTTTGTATTTTATTTTTTATATATATATATATTTTACTGTCGTTGTATGTTGTTTATTTGCATTGTTGTATTATTGGGCTTGGCCTCATGTAAGCTGCCCCGAGTCCCCTTGGGGTGATGGTAGCTGGGTTTAAATAATGTTTATTATTATTATTATTATTAATTATTATTATTATTATTATTAATAATAATAATAATAATAATAATTAATCTTAACTGAGACGGAGGGGTTTTGGAGAGCCAGACTTGGTTGCAAAGCATATACAAGTTGTATTGTCAAAGAATAACACTTTGAATACTGGGTTGTTGTAGGTTTTTTCGGGCTATATGGCCATGTTCTAGAGGCATTCTCTCTGACGTTTCGCCTGCATCTATGGCAAGCATCCCTCAGAGGTAGTGAGGTCTGTTGGAACTAGGAAAAAGGGTTTATATATCTGTGGAATGACCAGGGTGAGACAAAGGACTCTTGTCTGCTGGAGCTAGGTGTGAATGTTTCAACTGACCACCTTGATTAGCATATAATGGCCTGACAGTGCCTGGAGCAAACTTTTGCTGAGAGGTTATTAGATGTCCTTGTTTGTTTCCTCTCTGTTATTGTGCTGTTGTACTTTTAGAGTTTTTTAACAACAGAGAGGAAACAAACAATGACATCTAATCACCTCTCAACAAAAGATTGCTCCAGGTACTGCCAGGCTATCAAATGCTAATCAAGGTGGTCAGTGGAAACATTCACACCTAGCTCCAGCAGACAAGAGTCCTTTGTCCCACCCTGGTCATTCCACAGATATATAAACCCTTTTTCCTAGTTCCAAAACACCTCACTACCTCTGAGGATGCTTGCCATAGATGCAGGCGAAACGTCAGGAGAGAATGCCTCTAGACCATGGCCATATAGCCCGAAAAAACCTACAACAACCCTGTATACAGGTTTGTGCACTCACCTTGCTGATGATTTGATAGTAAGGGTGGTTTTCATCCATGGGGGGCGGTGGGATGTCATAGGAACGCCTCCAGATCTTGACCTGCTCTTCCCCATGCTTGGCTGCCGTCTCGGCCTTGTTGAGTCCGGTCAGGCCCCCGTAGTGGCGCTCGTTGAGGCGCCAGGTGCGCACCACGGGCAGCCACATCTGGTCGATGCCATCCATGATGTGCCACAGTGTGCGGATGGCCCTTTTCAGCACGGATGTGTAGCAGATGTCAAACTCATAGCCGGCATCCTTGACAGCTTGAGCTCCGCGCTTGGCTTCCTCCGTCCCTTTCTCGCTCAGCTCAGCATCAAACCAGCCACAGAATCGGTTCTCCTGGTTCCAGGTGCTCTCCCCATGCCTCACAATCACAAGCCGATGGGTTGGCATTTTTCTAGTAGAGAGGAAGACTGTGGCAACCTCAACGGTCAGAGACAGACAACCTTGGCCCTGAACCACCCAGACCATTTATACTCCTCTCTCCTTAGTGTCCCACCTTCACCCCTCGAGACCAATCTACTCCATTTGGGAGAAGACTGACAGCAGCAGATAGCCATTCATGGAGAGTGAGATCATACATCTCCCACTCTGCCTGAAATCCCATTTTGCATATGATAGAAATGAAGAGGCTTCCCCTCCCATTTAGTCCAGAAATAGCTGGAAAGGCTGTGACCTTTTCTCTGAGCAGCCTGGATGAGAAACAGAGATACTCTGGTCTCTCTCAAAGGGAAGGAACGTTGTTCAACTCCAACTTACCTTCCGGGCAATACGCCGCCCCAGGCTCGAAGCAAAGCCTTGGAATGGATTACCATGCTACCGCCGTTGCAGTTTGTCTCTTGGACGGATGGTAGCCTGGAAGCATTACCTTTCAGACCATTACTCCCAGCATCCCTCAGCCAGCATGGCTACTCGGAGTTGTAGTTCAGAAAGGTAACTTTTTCCAAGCCCTCACCCACCAGGCTAGAGAAATGCAAAAGTTGGAACAGGGTGAGAGCACGACAGTATCTTATCGGCCATTCAACTCTCAAAGCAGAAGAGTTGGGAAATGTGCCATTATTGGGAAAGAACAGTTTCCATAATCCCTCTCCATTGGCTGGGATTTCAGGGCTGGCAGGAATTTCTGCCCAATGGCATCCCGATGGCCACTCATCCTCCTCATCACTGAGATTATGCAATGCTTCTAAATACATAAAGAAATGCAACGAAGCAATTGTAACGATATATTTGGGATTGACATTGTTGGCCACCTGTCAAAGCCTGCAGCCAAGTGAGCAGGTACTGAAGCAGCAAAGAACAAGAGGCCCCATTGAAAGCATCCTTCACCAGTCACCTTCTTTATAGACTCTAGAGCAGTGTTTCTCAAACTGGGGGTCCGGACCCTTGGGGGGGTCTTGAGGGGGTGTTAGAGGGGTCACCAAAGACCATCAGAAAACAATATTTTCATGTATTGTCAAAGGCTTTCATGCCTGGAATCACTGGGTTGTTGTAGGTTTTTTGGCTATATGGCCATGTTCTAGAAGCATTCTCTCCTGACGTTTCACCTGCATCTATGGCAAGCATCCTCACAAGCTCTGAGGATGCTTGCCATAGATGCAGGCAAAACGTCAGGAGGGAATGCCTCTAGAACATGGTCATATAGCCTGAAGATACCTACAACATCACAGTATTTTCTACTTTTTTATTTTTTATTAAAACTATATATATATATATATATATATATATATATATATATTCCTCCCCTCTCTCTCCGTCAAGCCCCCCTCTCTTCCCAAGCTTTCCCCCCCTCTTTTCCCCCTTTGAAAATTTTAACCTTGTAATTTGTAAATATTTAATCTATATAAATAAAAATGTAATGTTTGTTTGTGGGATTAACATAACACCAAATTTGGACACAAGACACCTCTCAGGCCAATGAGTGACCATCACTTATAAAAATACTGGAAAACACAGCAGAAGGGACTTAAAAAGGCAAAAAATTAAAAATACATGAAGAAGAAGATTAATAGAATCATAGAATCAAAGAGTTGGAAGAGACCTCATGGGCCATCCAGTCCAACCCCCTGCCAAGAAGCAGGAATATTGCATTCAAATCACCCCTGACAGATGGCCATCCAGCCTCTGTTTAAAAGCTTCCAAAGAAGGAGCCTCCACCACACTCCGGGGCAGAGAGTTCCACTGCTGAACAGCTCTCACAGTCAGGAAGTTCTTCCTAATGTTCAGATGGAATCTCCTTTCTTGTAGTTTGAAGCCATTGTTCCATTGTCCTAGTCTCAAGGGAAGCAGAAAACAAGCTTGCTCCCTCCTCCCTGTGGCTTCCTCTCACATATTTATACATGGCTATCATATCTCCTCTCAGCCTTCTCTTCTTCAGGCTAAACATGCCCAGCTCCTTTAGCCGCTCCTCATAGGGCTTGTTCTCCAGACCCTTGATCATTTTAGTCGCCCTCCTCTGGACACATTCCAGCTTGTCAATATCTCTCTTCAATTGTGGTGCCCAGAATTGGACACAATATTCCATGTGTGGTCTAACCAAGGCAGAATAGAGCATGGGGAGCATGACTTCCCTGGATCTAGACCAGGGGTCCTCAAACTAAGGTCCGGGGGCCGAATGCGGCCCTCCAAGGTCATTTACCCGGCCCTCGCTCAGGGTCAACCTAAGTCTTAAATGACTTGAAAGTACATAACAACAACAATCCTATCTCATCAGCCAAAAGCAGGCCCACATTTCCCATTGAAATACTAATAAGTTTATATTTGTTAACATTGTTCCTCATTTTAATTATTGCATTGTTTTGAAGTGTTTTTTACACTACAAATAAGATATGTGCAGCGTGCATAGGAATTCATGCTTTTTTTTAAATTATAACCCGGCCCTCCAACAGTTTGAGGGACTGTGACCTGGCCCCTCTGTTTAAAAAGTTTGGGGACCCCTGATCTAAACACTAGACTCCTATTGATGCAGGCCAAAATCCCATTGGCTTTTTTTGCCACCGCATCACATTGTTGCCGCATCACATTATGGACTCTGGGTCTTGTAATTTAAGCACATTTGGATAGCTACACAATTCCCATCCCTGTAGTAAAGGTAAAGCTTGCAATAACACACACATAATATATACACCACACAACAGTCGGAGCACTTAGCCATGGGCCACAAGGTGGCACAATTCCACATGCTTTTACCAGAAAACTATGATGAGGTTCAATATATTGTCGAAGGCTTTCATGGCCGGAATCACTGGGTTGTTGTAGGTTTTTTCGGGCCATATGTCCATGTTCTATAGACATTTTCTCCTGATGTTTCACCTGTATCGAAACGTCAGGAGAAAATGTCTTTAGAACATGGCCATATAGCCCGAAAAAACGTACAACAACCCTATGATGAGGTTATATTCATTCCAAAGGAACACTATCTGTTTTCCTTTCCTTTTATAATAGAAATCGCTATTTGGTTTGTTAGGTCCATATGTTACGAAAAATGATGGGAGTAGTTTTATCTTTCCTTCTGCTAAAAGATACAAGAACAATTTTTTTTTGCTCCTGAACTGAAAGCTTTGTTTGCCCTCATTTGAACTTTGAACAAGTTCTGTCCTATCCAATCAAGGCCAACATGTCCGCATTATCTACTAACGAAAACAAATCATTGCAAGTTATTCATAAAAAAAAAAACATTCTGCATAAACACATGCCTATTACTCACCAGAGGATTAACGTCTTCCCTTCTGTGTGTGTGTGTGTGTTGTCAAAAACAGCTATGCCAACAGGCAGGGCTTGCTGAACAGACTCCTCCTCCTCTGATTGCTCTTTGCACCTTGGTGACTTTGGAAGGCTGGAAATCAGGTCCCATGAGCCTGCTTTCCTTCAATACTTTAATTACTTAGGTGATCCCTCATTGTCCGAGTAGGATAATCCTCCAGGGTGGATCCATGGGTGACTGTGGAGCCCTATTCTTGATCTGCATCTTCTCCCACAGTAAGGGCATCGGTTTCCAGGTGGAAGGCAGTCCCGATTGGGGTTAGCTTGACGCACCTTCCTCTTGGCACATTTCTCTCTTTCACCCTCCATTCGTGCCTCTTCAAATTCTACAGCACTGCTGGTCACAGCTGACCTCCACCTGGAGCGCTCAAGGGCCAGGGCTTCCTAGTTCTCGATGACTATGCCAGAGTTTCTAAGGTTGGCTTTGAGCCCATCTTTAAATCTCTTTTCCTGCCCACCAACATTCCATTTTCCGTTCTTGAGTTCGGAGTAGAGCAACTGCTTTGGGAGACGGTGGTCAGGCATCCGGACAACGTGGCTGCTCCAGCGGAGTTGATAGCGGAGGACCATCGCTTCAATGCTGGTGGTCTTTGCTTATCCCAGCACGCTGACATTTGTCCGCTTATCTTCCCAAGAGATTTGCAGGATTTTTCAGAGGCAACGCTAATGGAATCGTTCCAGGAGTTGCATGTGACGTCTGTAGACAGTCCACGTCTCGCAGGCGTATAGCAGGGTTGGGAGGACAATAGCTTTATAAACAAGCACCGTAGTATCCCTACGGATGTCCCGGTCCTCAAACACTCTCTGCTTCATTCGGGGAAAAAGCTGCACTCGCAGAGCTCAGGCGGTGTTGTATTTCAGTGTCAATGTTGACTTTGGTGGAGAGGTGGCTGCCAAGGTAGCGGAAATGGTCAACATTTTCTAATGTTACACCATTAAGCTGTATCTCTGGCATTGGAGAGGGATTGGCTGGTGTCTGCTGGAACAGCACTTCGGTTTTCTCGATGTTCAGTGACAGGCCGAGCTTCTTGTATGATTCTGCAAAGGTGTTTAGAGTGGCTTGCAGGTGTTCCTCTGAATGCACACATGATTATTTCCCTTAATAATCATGGCCAGCTCTAGCATGGTTCCGTTAAAAATGATTAATTGGAATACATGCCATATATGCTTGAGTATAAGCCGACCCGAATATAAACCAAGGCACCTAATTTTACCACAAAAACTGGGAAAACGTATTGACTCGAGTCTAAGCTGAACATGGGAAATGCAGCAGCTACTGGTCAATTTCAAAATAATAACCAATAAAATTACATTAATTTAGGCATCAGAAGATTAAATGTTTTTGAATATTTACATAACACTGTAATCTTCTATATAAATAAAAATGTAATGTTCGTTTGTGGGATTATCAGAACTCAAAAACCATTGGACGAATTGACACCAAATTTGGCCACAAGACACCTATCAGGCCAACAAGTGACCATCACTCATAAAAACAGTGAAAAACACAGCAGAAGGGACTTAAAAAACAAAAAAATAATAAATACATTACAACGCATGTGCAAAACCCCATATATACAGAAACACACACATATGCACAAATATATGCACACACATATATGCATATATATACACACAAAACACATATACACAGGCTGGGCCACAGCAACGCGTGGCAGGGGACGGCTAGTTTAAGCTAAGACTGTCCAATTCTGACTCTTACCTTCTTCAATGTAAATGTGCTTATGTATCCTTCTTCCAATAATAATAGAGTAACATAATAAATGATAATAATAATAGAGTAAAATAATGGAAATGTAATAATAACAATAATACTAGGGTAAAATAATAAATGCAATAGTAACAATAATACATTGATTAAAATAATAAATGTAATAATAACCACAATAAATAGAGTAAAAAGTATAAAATAATACATGTAATAATAACAATAATTATGTAAAATAATAACGTAATAATAGTAATAGAGTAAAATGATAAATGTAATAATAACAATAGTAATAAATAGAGTAAAGTAATGCATGTAATAAAAATAATGATAACAGAGTAAAATAATAAATAACCTTGACCCGAGTATCAGCCGAGAGGAACTTTTTCAGCCTTTAAAAAGGGCTGAAAAACTAGGCTTAGACTTGAGTATATACAGTAGTTTGTTCTCAAGTCATGATAGTGCCATGGATTTCTAAATTATGTTCAAACCAGCATCACTTTGTGTTAGTCAGAAAGGAGGATACCATGAAAATTAACAAAACCTGGATGCCAGTATTTTAAAAACTCTAAAATCAGGACAGTAAATAAAGAGCAGTACTCAAAAACAGGGGAATTCTGGACAAGAAACAATCGGGGCCAGCTAATCACCTCCCAACAAGGGATTCCCCTAGGCAGAAGCAGCCAAGCCTTGGCTATTCAATGCCAATCAAGGCGATCAATTGCAGCATTCACACTTGTCCCAAACAGACAAGATTTCTTTCACCCACTATGGACATTCCACAGATATGTAAACCCCACTTGCCTAGTTTCCAACAGACCTCACAACCTCTGAGGATGCCTGCCATAGATGTGGGTGAAACGTCAGGAGAAAATGCTTCCGGAATATGGCCATACAGCCTGGAAAATGCACAGCAACCCAGAATCATTTTGCCTGTGATCTGCAGACTCTTAACATAGGATTTAGGAAGCATATGAATGAAGTGCGGCACCCCATGATTTTGTGTCACACCACGTACCTTGGAGCATTCGTTGCGCTCATAACAAAGAACCGGTATTTACTGGTTTCCGCAGATGACAGGAACATCTCCATCTTTGCAAACTTGTCAACTTCTCATTCAAGTCAGAGAGCAGCTGCCTTTTCACTGAAATTTAATTTTGAACAGAATTAAGTTTACTTTTTGTTCTGTTTAAACCATTTGGATTTATTGATTTTATTGAATACCGACTGAAGGTGACTATGGATTCTTTCCTTCCTTCCTTCCCCTTAAGTATTGCATAAAAAGTGAGAAAAACAGATTCTAAATATCTTTTTTATATCTTATCTAAATAGGAAAAAACATTTCTTAGATGGTCTTTGTAACCCTTGCTTCTGTATATTGCCTGAAATTATTTTTTAACGAATATTATTGTAAGAATAAGATACTGTTTTTGTTACAATATTAAAATCGAGGATCGGGGAGAAAAGAAAAGAAAGTTGGATATATTCCAAAAAATAGAATAGTAAAAATGAGAAAAACGCATAAAAAGAAAAAGTGTCTACTGTGTATGATAAAACTGAAAAAAACTGAAATCGTGGTTTTGGCACCAGGTTTTTGGCTAGCAGGCACAACGGCACTTTGGACATTGAATGATGATGATGATGATGATGATTATTATTATTAAACTTTATTTATACCCCGCTGTGCTGGTACAGCTGTACCAGAAGCCTAAATTTCCTTTCTATGCATGTGTTTGTTTTGGCCATTTTGCAGTTGGGTGGTTCCCTTCCAGGCTGCAGCCATAGGGCCAGCCACCTGCCTATCATCGTTAACTTCTTTAGTTCCGCCCCTTTCCCCAGGGTTCTGGGAGGGAAAAGATATTTTAGTTCAGTCTTACAGTTTGGAAGCTCAGCTACAGGATGTGAGAGCTTTTCCCACCTGTAGAGAAGCTCCGTTTCTTACAAAGCTCTGGGGAGAATAGTCCCAAAGCTTCTGGGGAAGACAGTTCTCAAAGCTCTGGCTGGGGAACTTACAGCCCCACAGCTCTACAAGCCTCTGGGGAAGACAGCCCTAAAGCTTCTGAAGAAAACAGTTTTACAGATCCAAAAGTCTCCAGCTGGAAAATCTCTAAAGTTTTGGCCGGTAAGGTTTACTCGGGTACCCAAAAAGCAAATTGGAACTGGGAGTAAGGCCCCACACCAGCCAGCCTAAAGACAGATTGCCCAGGGAGGAGTTGGAGGGTTTTCCTTGTAAAAGAAAGAAATAGTTCACAAAGCAAGCTGCCTGTCCTTTGTGGGCAAGTTAAGAAGAATTTGTGTGTTTTGTTGAAGATCTAAGCAATAATAAAGAACTTTGTTAAACTTTCCAAGTTTCTAAAGACTTTGTTTAGGAAAATCCATAGGGCCTCTCAGCCGAGGCACCCCAGCTTCCCGCTGGGCACAAAGAGCACAACCTGTTTTAAAAGACAATTGCTATAGGCCCCAAGGGGACTCTGGGCGGTTTACATGAGGCCAAGACCAACAATACAGCAATGCAAATAAATAACATACAACGACACTAAAATATAAAAATAAAATAAAGAGTTCTATTTCATGTAACATTTAATATGTTGAAATTATCAGTCATAATATATTTCTTAATCTTGGGGACTGGCCATAACAACAAAGCAAAGACAACTCATTCTCTATCCTTTTTGGGTCAACAATCGAGAATGTTAAAAATTCAGCGTTACACAAAATAACAATAATAAAAATGCGTGCTATTCCATTACCCAAGCGGATGCCACAAGAGGGTGCTGGAATCATAGAGTTGGAAAAGACCTCGTTGGCCATCCAGTCCAACGCCCTGCCAAGAAGCAGGAAAATCGCATTTGAAGCACCCCTGACAGATGGCCATCCAGCCTCTGTTTAAAAGCCTCCAAAGAAGGACCCTCCACCACACCCTGGGGCAGAGAGTTCCACTGCTGAACAGTTCTCACAGTCAGAAAGTTCTTTCTCGTGTTCAGGTGGAATCTCCTTTCTTGTAGCTTGAAGCCATTGTTCCGCGTCCTACTTTCCAGGACAGCAGAAAACAAGCTTGCTCCCTCCTCCCTATGACTTCTTCTGACCTCTTGATGCATGACCGTGATCATGTCTTCTCTCAGCCTTCTCTTCTGCAAGGAAAACATGGCCAGCTCTTTAAGCCAGTCCTCATAGGGCTTGTTCTCCAAATCCTTTATCATTTTAGTCGCCCTTCTCTGGAGCCTCCACCACACTCCGAGGCAGAGAATTCCACTGCTGAACGGCTCTTACAGTCAGGAAGTTCTTCAAATGTTTAGATGGAATCTCC